GGTTTGGAATCTAGATGGATCTTAGGATCTAGGGTCTGGAGGAATCCTAAGCTCTAGAGTGAATCCTAAAGTCTAGAATAGATCCTAAGATCTGAAGTCTAGAAAAGTCCTAGGGTCTGGAGTCTGGAAGAATCTTAGGGTCTAGAGTAGATCCTAAGGTCTGGATTGATTTGGAATCTAGAAGGGTCTTAGTGACCTCATATAAAAATGAGGTCAACAGAGTGATATCTTGCTGAGCTGTTAGCTCTTCCTTGTTTTCTGCGTGGTTTTAAAGTTTTAGGAAAGGGAAGGAGGTCTTGGACTAAAAGTTTGGTGTCTGATATGAGATTAGGTATTTTGTACTTTTGATTTTTGGTACAGTCATGGCTTTTCTGTTATGTTCTGTTATTTATGTCTGAAGCCATGAATTGTATTATATATGATTGTTTTGATGAAAGAAAAGATAGATGAACTGTTCTATATTTGGATGTTTATAGTAGCTATATGTTTTTCTATCTATTTAATATTTGGAAGAAGTTTCTGAAGCAAATTTCAAAGCTAGATCCTGGATTTTCAATAGTTCTATCACGACCCGATGCGAGCGGGATTCGTCCTGATCGGGTTGGGTTGCGACAACCAATACCTCCAACTTCATCAGATAGGTATGTAAATGCATCAATAGTTCTTATCCCTACTTGTGACATAGATTTCAAAATAGATACATTCTCATCATTAATGCTCCTAGATAACCTGAGCAAATGTTGATCATCCGGCCTAGCCAGTTCGTGATTGTGACTCTTTATAGCTTTATTCACCCCCCAAATCCCATCTTGACTCACTGAAAATATAACCATGGTTGGACATCCTGTTTTTGTACATGATTTTCGATATTTAACCTTTGTACCTATCTCAGTCTCCTTCTTGAATCCTGCTTTAGAACACACAAAATACTTTGATTTGAATTTCCTTGTATTTGGCCAAAAATGGTGATAATCTTTCCGAACACTAAATTTAGTTGAATGCGTATAATGACAATATTTTTCATATGCTTTCTTTTCAGAGTTGTAAACACCATGTGAAAAAAGATTCATATATCCAGTTTAGCATTATATCTACATATCAATACCGAGCTTATACCGAGCAGGTTGAATGATCGGTACTAGTAAGTAATAAGTTTTATTAGCTCGGTACAAATGTGCTCTGAGTTTATAATGAGCTATAAAAATCAATAACGAGCTTATATCGAGTTAATTGAATGATCGATTCCGTGTAATGATTAATACTAGGTTATACCGAGCGAAACTTATCAACTGTAATGATCGGTACAACTTTAACCAACGTTTGATTTGCTCGAAACATATGTGCAAATAGTTTATACCGAGCAACACTGTCTAGTACCGAGGTATGTCAAACCCTGTACCGAGTAAATCTAATAGATTTTTATGATTCTGCTGGGTACAGGATTTTACATATTCTTCATCTACGTTGATGCCCAGTTCTATCCGTAATGAAACAGTAAAAAAAAAAAAAATCAAACATTATAGATAAGGAATTACTTGTATTAAATCAGTAAAAGCTTGATCAAAATTTAAAGTCGGAGTTTCCTCAAAATCTTCGAAGTCTTAAAATGAGTAGCTACATTCGTACCTTCCATCTCCTCAAACACTTCACGATTTTTTTAACTGCGGTATATGAACCCTAAAGACTGTATAACATCTTAGGTTTAATACCGAAAAGGTTATTATACCTGTGGTAAAAGCTGCGTATTTTTTTAGTTTTCGCGCCCAATTCATATACAATGCGACCGACCGACCCGAAATATTTTAAAAAAATGTGCTAAAGCATATGGGTTGTCGTCGGGTCATTAGGGTTTAAGGACTGCTACGTGGCGCGTAATTAAGCAATACCGAACGTAGTGCTACGTCAGGTAACCTAAGGCAATAAAATTCCGGTCTGTAGAGCCTGGTGCAGACATCGTTGGGCTCAGGAATCTCTAAATCGCGGATCTCCTCGAGCCACTAAAAACTAAGCTTCATGCGGTGAATAAGGTTATGGCACTGAAAAATTCTTTGGTTAACGTGGTCTTCGAGGGAGCAAATAGGTCTGAGATACTTGAAGAGGCAATTTTTTTTGGGACAACAAAGAAGAATGAAGCAAAATGAGTGAGGATTTTTTTTTTTTGTCATTTTTTATCCCCCGAATAGCAAAATGCCACGAGAGCTTTAATTGGTAACAAAAAGCAAGTTTGAGACGTAAAATTTTATAGAATGGAGTTAAAAATTAGACCCCCAAACAATCCTTTGGTTATGTTTTATAAAGCAATGAAGGTAAAATATCATCTCAAATGGATCTTTTATCTAACCATCCATTGCATCCTTCCCTCGTAGGGCTGTAAACGAACTGAGCAGAGCCGAGCTTCAGCATGTTCGAGCTTAAGCTCATCTCCAAGACTGTGTTCGAGCTTGGCTCAATAAGAAACAAGCTTTTTTGGTCCTGTTCAAGATCAAGCTTGTTTAGATAACCCATGCTTAAGCTCAGTTCATGTTCAAGTTCAAGATCGATTAGTTAGGCTAATCGAGCCGCTTGTTAAGCAGCTCGTTTAAACAAAACAGTAGGCACGAAAAACAGGCGAATCCAACTTTCAAAGTTTGCAATCGCTCTTCCCATTTTCTTTCTTATATATATCAAAATCCATGCGGCCTATATAGCATGGGACTAAATTCGCGAACAGTGGGATTGCATAGAGTGGAGCGTGATATTGCGGGATTTTTTTTTAGTTTTTTCCTAGAGCGGAGAGGGGGGAGCAAGCGGGATTTGTTTTGTTTTCATTTAATTTAATAATATTTTTTGTTGTTGAGTCATCAAATATCATGATGTTAGAGAAATATAAAATTTAATATCTTCGCTTTGTACGAAGATCCAATACACAATCAAATGAAAAGAGAGAGTGTAATATTTATAAGATAAACCAAGATTTTTATATGGAAAATCCTTGAAAGGGGAAAACCATGGGGCCTAGCCCAGTTTGAATGAATCCACTAATATTTTGTAGTTGATTACAAATGAAGCCCTTCATTGGAGAAAAGGTATTGGCTTAATGTAACAAATATACATCATATAGAATGCATTACATGGTGGAATTTGAAAGAATTAGTATTAATATGTTTATTTGGTTGGTAGGACCATAGACGGCTGACAATGGAGGTCAAACATATTGTATTCAGGTGACGGTGGTCGGAAGGTCCATAGTCGGCGGACGACGAAGGTCAGAAGGATCGTAGTCGACATACAACAATGGTCAGAAAGATTGTTTTTTGACGATGGAGATTGGAATGATCATAATCTGGTGAAGGAGGTCGAAAGGACTGTAGTCGGCAAGCGACGGGGGTAAGAAAGACCGTAGTATGATGATAGAGGGCGGGAAGGACCATTTTTTAGCAATGGAAGTTGGAAGGACTGTAATCTGCATTCGACAAGTTAGAAAAACCATTATTAGGCGACAAATGTAGGAAGACTGTAGTTGGTGGGTGACAAAGTTCGGAAAGCCTGTTGTCGGGTGACAATGGTCAGAAGGTGGAAGTCCGGCGTCACTCTATCGAAAGTAGGTGGCCGGGCAAAAGTTCGATGTTAGTTAGCGGCCCGGTGGAAGTCCGACGATGGTTGAGAAGGAGTCTAGTGGCAAGAGAACTCTAGTTTCTCTTCTTTCTTCTCTTCCTTGCTTCCTTGCTCCAGTATCTTTTCCATGTAGAATGAGTGGTCTATTTATATTTTTCTGAGTGTGACACATATAGTAAATAAGGAGAAGATCATGGGTATGTTGGGAGTGGTTTGAATGGATGATCAATATCAATTTCTTTGATCATGAATTGTTTTATCAAGTATTTGAGTGCCTTAGTGATATCAAAATTCAACGATCTTGGGTTTGTTGGATTCGTCTTGTCGAGCCGCTCGATTCAATTATCAGCATCTCACGTTTGGAAATTGTTTGACAATCTAAATTATTGTTTGAACCTTCAAAAAATACTTTGGATTTTCAATTTGGACCTATTTGGACTCAGATTGAGTCGAATTTGATGTCATTGTGTTTGTATTAATGTGACGTTCAATTCGACTGTAAGTTTGCTGAAATTGGAGTTCATATGATTCCAAATTAATTTGAGAAACTTTCAACTTGATTTTTTCTCGAGATTCATGCCCGATCAAGATAATTTTTTGATGATATACAATTTTAAAACTATTTATTTATTTTAAGATAATTCGAGTTGAATATAAGCTGTAATCCAGCTTATTAACGAGCTTGTTTAGGAACTTAAACGAGCCGAACATCACACTGTTCAAGCTTGATTATTAATGGATTGAGTACTTATCAAAAGTGTTTAAGCTCATTCTTTTAACTTATCAAACGCGCATAAATGAATTTTTATTGAGCCAAATCTCAAGCAACTTATGCAAAATCTCAATTAGTCTGTACTAGGGTGTGAATGAGTCGAGTCAAGTCGAGTGTAGACCTCAATCGAGCTCGGCTCGTCAGTTGGAAAGTGAGCTTGACTCGAGCTCGAGGTCGAGTCGAGATCGATAGGTGAGCTCGAACTCGAGCTCGTACCATTGTGAATGAGGTCGAGCCGGCTCTTCAGCCATGGGCGGGAATTTAAAAATTTAGGCGAGATTTTTAAAACATAAACGAGATTTTTAAAACTTATTCAAAATTTAGAAAAAAAGATTAAATATTTAACATCTAAATAAAACTTAGGTGATTTTTATTAATTTTTTTAATATTTAAATTTAATAAATAAATTAAAATTATTTAAAAATATTAATATTTATTCGAGCCGGCTCGCGAGCTCACAGGCCGAGCTGACTCATGCTCGAACTCGAGCTCAATTTGCGAGTCCATAAACGAATAGAGCTGGAACTTGAGCCCATAAACCAAACCAGCTAAATAAATTCGGCTCCCTTACTACCTATATATCACTATTCCCTTGCACGACTTTACACCAGCACTCCCATGTAAACATATCCTCAAGCTGAAAGCGCCGATCAATTTAACCAATTATAATATTACACGTGTTCTTGGGAAGAGCCGCTCCCGTTCCCTCCACCTCGAAAGCATCTCATATCTGCTTTCGTCTCTCTAACTATTCACCTCCGCTAGACTTTTTCCTCTTTTTGGTGCAATCTGCTCCAGGATTCAGAGACTCGGAAGAGTTTAAACCGACTTCATTCTCTGTTTCACCGGTCTCCATGGAGTGTCTAGGTCGAATGCGTGCTGCCGGTCTCTCTCTGCCATTCTGCGCTTGGAAATGCCAGAGGCGACTTGCTGCGGGCGAGCGGTGGCCGCTGCTTCGGCAGAGAAAACGCTCGATTCGGCTTCTTCCTCCATTTCGAGCCAGCGGGGCGATGACGGAGGTGAAGGGAGTGGAGGAATTTGCTGACGAGGAGGATTACATTAAGGCCGGTGGAAGTGAACGTTTCTTTGTCCAAATGCAGGAGCGGAAGCCAATGGAAAAGCAAAGCAAAATCGCTGACAAAGTCCACTCTTTCTCTTTTGCGAATTCCTAAACTGTTATTTTCTTATTTTTTAGTATGTTTTCTTTGTTTTAGTTGCTCATCGAGGGATTGCAATGCCTGGTTAAAAACTAATATATTAGTAAAGAAAGTCACTTTTTTGTGTCACTTTTTTGTGAATGGCTCTTTTTTGGTTCATAAAACTTATTCCTGATAATATTGAAGGCCCCTCGCCGTTAATGCTATGATCTTCTACTGCATCTGGATTTTTTTTTAATTTTTAATTTTTAATTTTTTTATGGGTTTCGGTCAAATCCTTATGCTGCAGGTCTTATATGGTTTTATGCTTCTTGACGTACTGGTGTTGCTTCTTTCTCATGGCTAATTTATCTTAGGATTCATTTGGTCCTACTGCTATGTTGCTTAATTTCTAAACAAAATAGTTTTTATTTACTTGAAAATTACGTTTAAAAATTTACCAAAATTCATTTAGATGAGATTTTTTCTTAGTAAATTATCATTATCCTTTGCACTTTATGAACGTATGAACTCTTTTTTAGAATAACTCATAATGTTATATAACTATGTTTGCTTTTTTAATGCAGTGTTTTAAAAGCATAACATAATCACAGTTGAATTAAATGAGGCCATATACTATTTTTCAAGACTTTCTATTCATCATTTCGGAAGTTTGATTGAATTATATTGCATCCCGCAGTTGCCAATGATTTCTTCCAGCGATCCTTTGCTGGAGTTGATCGTGGTCGGGTGTGGTCCAGCTGGTATGTCGTTGGCCACAGAGGCGGCTAAGAGTGGATTGAGAGTAGGCCTTATTGGACCTGACCTTCCATTTACAAATAACTATGGCGTATGGGAGGACGAGTTTAAAGGTAATTCATTACTTGTTTTACTTTGAATTTATAGTCCACTTTAACATATATTTCTAGCATGGTTTTTTATGATTAAATAATTTATGCTGGTTCATGTGGAATAGTTTGAAAAAGCTAATGTAGTAAATAAGTGACACTACGATCATAAACAAACTTATGACCAAACATGTCCTCCAATTCTAGAGCATTTGATGAGATTAATCTAACTTAGTGATATCAAATTTTGAGATTAGAATTCCCTATAATTTGTGGCACTCTATGCTAGTTTATAGAGTGAAGGAACCTTCTCCTTTTTGAATGAAATAGTTTATCTGTATATTTATTTTAAATGGATGAAATATTTTAAGACATCTGATTACATTACAAATAACTATGGCACATGGGAGGATGAGTTTAACGATATTTCATTACTTGGGTTACTTCGAATTTATAGTCTACTTTATCAGATATTTCAAGCATGGTTTTTGATCAATAAATTATTTATGCTGGTTATTGTGGAATAGTTTGAAAAAGCTAATGTTGCACATATAAGACACTAAAATCACACCCAACCTTATGTGCAAATATGTCCTCCAATTTTAGAGCATTTGATATTATTAATGCATGATGCGATCAAAAATTTGGGAAGGGCGTCCCAAATTTTTGATCACAAAATTAGGAGACTTCCTATATAAAAGAAATACTAAAAATGCTAAAGAAATATACCAAATTCTAAAAAGACACAAAATAAGAAACAAAGACACTTTCATAATATTAGAGAAAACTCTTACATTTCATGTCACTTACAAACAACACTTACAAACTTGGACACACACCTAAACTTGCTTTTTCAAGAGACGAAGGATACAATGGAGTGGATACTTGCGGAGAGATGAAAGAGATTAGAAGCCAAGACGAAGGTTGGAAAGAGCTCGCAAGATTTCCATAGAAGTAGAAGAAGAAGTGGAACAAAGCTCTCAAGCTTTTTCCAAGAAAAACCTCACAGGTTTTGTCCCAAAAATTATCATCATAACCTCTCTAAAACATTACAAAACAACTACTATTTATAGACATAAGAGGGCATTAATTAAAAGCTGAAAATAGAAGGCCAAAAGACACCTAAAAACTGCAGTAGAAATCTGTTTAGAAATCAGCAAAAGTCTAAATTGGAATTCACCCAAAAATAGCCACCAAACAGCCACTTAAACTGTTCAAATTCTGTCCAAAAACAGCCCCCAAAATCTCTTCAAATCCACACATAAATGCGGAAATGAAAGGCCAACATACTCTTTATTGAAATCCCAAACGGCACAGCAAAAGCATAAGGAAAAAGGCCACGGATCCAGACAGATACATCACAGAACCCAGCAGCCAAACAACCACCACAAATTCGATAAAAGGGGGACCACAGGACATTAATTCAGAAGCAAACCGAGGGGCCAAAAACCAGCAGAAAATCGCAGTAGCCCAAGAGTTAACAGGAAGAGGAAAAGGCAAGAGAAATGAGAATAAAAAGGGGAAGGAGAAAAGCCAAGTTTAAGAATTAATGAGCTAATTTTTAGTTCAATAAATGAACTAAAAATCAGCTCATAATGAGCTAAACTTCCACTTGACATTAATGAGCTAGAGAAGTCAAAAATAAAATATTAGGATTTGATTTGTCCCCCCCTGCCTACATCAATGTAGCTTAGTGATAGAAAATTTTGAGATTGGAATTTCCTAAAATTTGTAATACTTTGTACTTATATACAGAGAGAAGAAACCTTCTTCTTTTTAATTCTAATATTTGAAGGAGACCATTGGATTTTGCATTAAAGGCCACTCAATTTCAATGTTTTTTTAATCATTAATTGTATATTGATTTAAAATGGATGAAATAATTTAAGACATCTTGAAAACATAAGTGAGGATGACATTGGATTTTGAGAGTGAGTGAGTGATGCAGCCTGCTGAGAATGTCAAACTATCTCTACATAACTACTACTTCTATTTGGTATAACTATCATGGGGATCAAGGTGATGAGTTGATAAAAGTCTCCCTCCTATTCGGAGAATGACCAAGTCAAATTTTCCTAAGTAGCTTGATGTTGCCTAACCTTTGGTTTTCTTTGTTGATTGTTGCTCAATTCTTACAAAATAGCGACGTTTGATGTTTATTAACTATTGATACTCAACGCAAGTCTTTCATGGTCATTTGGTCTCCCCTATAATAAGAAGAATGATCGAGTCATACTACCCTATATTAAGGGTCTAAGTGAGCAAAGCTGGCTCAAACTCAACTCATGAATGAGTTCGTGAGTCGAGCATATTTAGCCACAATGTTGAGCTTCAATTTAGATTACAACTTGTATAATTTAAGAGCTTAAGTTTGGACATGAAGTCGACTTAGCTCATTTGCTCGTGAGCCGACTTAATTAAATAAAAATTCTTAATTCTTGTCATTTGATTTAGGGTTGTTTGATTCATGCACTCCTCTTCTTCTTTAAACGTCACTAGTCTTGTCCTTATCTTCTTCAGCAAGCTCTCACTTGACTTCCCCCAATGTTATCGGTCCCATCTTTGCCTTCTTTACTGCACTCCCATTGATTCCATCTTTGACAAGCTTTTGTTCATGTCAGTGAACTCTTGCCTTGGGGTTTTGAAAATTTGTCTTGAGCTCAAGACCGCTGTTATTTTGATAAGCCGAGCTCAAGCTCACCATATGAGCTCAACTCATTCTCGAGCTTCTGTTTGAGGCTACCATTATGTAGGCAAGCTCAATTCAAGTTAGCATTGACTCAAGCTCGATTTTCCTCGTTTACACCCACTCGATATTTGTTTGACTCTGATATCCAATTTCAACGGTCACTTAAAACTTACTAAAGACCCACCGTTCACTAATTACGGGCATCTAATACTGTCTTCTTGGTCACCTTCCCTCTTATAAGGAGAGAGACCAAGTTGATTGCCCGATGTTCCCTATCCTCAATGTTCCTTGTTGATAATTGCCTAACGCATAACAAAGAGTGATTTTTCATGTTTGTTAGTCATCGATGTTTAAAATAGGTCTTCTTGGTCATCTAGTATCCCCCTAAATGAGAATAATTGAGTTAAACTGTTTGGTTGTGACCCTACCTCTGATGTTCCTTTTTTAATTATTTCTCAGGACTAACTAAAAATTGATGTCAATCTCTTTTAGCCATCGATTTCTAATGATTGTCGTATCAGTCACTCAATCTCCGATCAAGTTTACGCTCATCATTTTCTATTGATTTACGCTCATTATTGTCTATTGATAACTCAAATGCTCCAAGGCTCCTACTATCATAAGAGATTTTCTGCTATTCATGTCTACCAATTTGCATTAAAGCACTCCATTTATCGGTAAAGACATTCTTTGTAATATTCAATTCACACTAGTGAAATAAATTTAAATGAGCCAAGTTCCATGATTTTTCTCTTTTCCAAAATTTTCACATAAAAATATTGCTTCTCTTAGGAGTTGCTCTCAATTATCTGAGTGGACCATTTAACATCTTGCTCTACCAAAAAGATATTCTTGTATGAATAATTAGGTCTAAATTAAAATTTTTTCAATTTATGCATTTGTGGATCATTTACTTTTCTTTTATTATAGCTACAAATGTTGCATCCGGAAGCTTGAGCTTATGTTTTATTGATTACAAATATTATTAGAGTTTACTTAGTTTATCCTACTTGTTATTATTGCATATCTTTTTTGTATGTATTAACATTTCAGGTACCACATACACCAAGCATCACCAAAGAATCAGGGCTTAAGATTGGGTAGTATATGATTGATTTTTGCAAGTCTGTATTTTTATCTTTTTTTGAGTCAATGTATTATAAAATGTATATGTTAGCTTGACAATTGTGCGCACACACATGTTGAGTGTAAAATAAATATTTGAATTTTTTCTGTAAATTGTACCACATAATCATGATATTATTGCATGATCTCTTAAAATAGAAATTATAAATAAAAAAATAATTTATAATATACAGTACGAATACCACATCATACTGGATGATCAACTATAACCAGAAATCCCACAGTGGAATCTAACTTACCTAAAATTGACAAATTTGAATTTCAAAATTTAAATTGTTAGTATTGTATGAATTATTTCATAACGTACAATATATTAATTGTTGTCTCCTAATTAGGTTCATTAATTAATGAATCAAATTAAATTAATTGGATCTTATTTAATTGCTGATTGTATTGTACAATCCTAGACCGTACTGTACGTCTCACCCAAGGAGCTCTTGATGATAGTTGGTTCGTCCAGTATGATCCAAAAATCATACTGTAAGAACAACCCGACGGCTCTCTGGACGAATTAGGTTAATCCAATATGATCTGATGTTTTGATTTGAACATATCGTACTATAATATTTTAAATCGTGCTGGGCGATCTTTGACGAAGCAAACTAATCTTACTATATGATTCTTATATCGTATTGTATGAATAGTTGCGACAAAATTGAAAAGTAGGGTTTTCTTGGAGCCTACTATTTAAACAACTATTATTTCATTTAAAGAAGTCTTTTGGCTGTCAAAGGGCTTGAGTCTTTTGTGAGAGAGAGTTTAAAAAGAGTGCTTTGGACAAGGGAGAGAAAGGTGTTGTTTAGAGAGAGGGAAAATAGCCTTACACATGATTGCTCTGGCTAACATCCATCTTCTTCCTCCACAAGTCAAGACCTTACTTGAGAGACCTTAATCGGTAAGCCACACCTCCGATCCTCTCGAATATGTTGTAAGAGCCAAAGTACCTTGGTGCCAGCTTTTCATTTCTCCTGTTCGCTATTGTTCTTTATCTATAAGGATGAAGCTTCTATTATATCCACTCTCCCACCTCAAATTTGATGTCCTTCCTATGCCCATCTGCCTGCTTCTTCATGATTTGATGAGCCCTCAGTATATGCCTTTTTAATTCCCCCAACATCCTTTCCAGCTCCTTCAAGTATTGTTCTATAGAAGAAACTGGTGTGCTACTCTGCCCAAAATGCACTAGTTT